GAAAGACAGAATTTCTCACATAACAGCACAAGAAAATGCATTCTTCTTAAGAAAACAAAGGGCATTTCTAGGATAGATCAGATGGTAGGTCACAAAACAACTCAAATTTTAAAAAAAAGTTCAGTTTTAAAACTAAAATTTATTAAAACTAGTAATGGACAGGCATAGGAAAATGAAAAAAATGTCAAAGTTATAGGGACTGAACAATCAACCACTAGGTCAAGGATTAAATCAAAGAGAATTTGTAAATGAAACAAATAAAAATAAAAAAAAAAAACACAGCAAAATTTATGGTATACAACCAAAACAATGATAAGATAATTTCATAGCAATAAATAAAATCATTAACAAAGAAAAAAATTCTCAAATAAACAATCCAAATTTATATCTAAATGAAGTAAGAAAAGAAGACCAAACTAAATCCTAGAATAGCAAGAGTTAGTAAATAATCAAGATTATAGCAGAAACAAATAAAAGAGAATAGAAAAAAAAACTGAGAAAAGCAAAATTCACATACTCTTGATCAAATTTTAAAAATGAAGAACATTTAAATAAATAAAAGAGGAAAAATTATAACGGATGCCTGAGACCCAAAAAGAATCATAAAGGGATATTATGAATAATTATACAGCAATAAATTAGGTAATCTAGAATTAGTAAATTCTTAAATTTAGGATATCCACTTAAATTATATCAAGAAGAAATGTAAAACCCAAGTACACACACAAAAAATGAGTTGACTGAAGTAATAAATCAAAAACGTCACAACAAAGAAAAGCCCAAAACATGATGACTTCATGAAAGGGAGGATATCTTCCCAAACTCCTGTGGGACCAGCATTACCTTAATTCTAAAACCCCAAAAAAAAGATAGAACAAAGAAAAGTGAAAGAAAGAGAACTATAGGCCAATATACCTTATGAACATATACGCAGAAATCCTCAACAGAACACTAGCTAATCAAATCCAACAGTATATCAAAATGATCATTCATCCAGACCAAGTGGAATTTATCTCTGGTTTGCAGGGATGACTCAACGTACTCAAATAGATAAACGTGATACATCGCATTAACAAATTCAAGAATAAAAAATACGTGATTATTTCAAGATGTAGGGAAAGCATTTGATAAAATATAAACACCTCTTAAATATTTCCAAAAAATGGTGGGCAGCATTGTAGCCTAATGGGAAAAGCCACCACTTGTGATGCTGGCATCCCAAATGGGCACTGGTTCATATCCTGGCTGCTCAATTTCCAATCCGGATCCCTACTAATGGCCTGGGAAAGGCAGCAGAAGATGGTCCAAGTGCTTGGGTCCTTGCCGTCCAAATGGGAGACCTGGATGAGATTCCTGAATGCTAGCTTCAGCATGGCCCAGCATTGGCTGTTGGGGCCATTTTGGGAGTGAACCAGGGGATCTCTCTCTCTAACTCCCACCTTCAACTAAATAAATAAATCTTTACAAAAAAATTTCCAAAAAGATATAAGAAAAATTTGAAGCTCTTTTTGTGAACCAGGATATCCTTGACAACAAAAGCAGACAAATAAGATCAAAACACCTGGTAAATGTAGGTGTAAATCCTCTCAAAACACTAGATCACCACATTTAATAGCACATTAAATGGATTACATACCACAGTTAAGTGGAATTTATTATTAGGATACAAGAATGGTATGATGTATGTAAATAAATAAATGTGATAGATCACATTGGAAGAATGAAAGATAAAATAGGTAATAGATCTCAAAGGCAAAATCCATCTCAGTACAAAAAAACAATAAACAAGATTGAATTCCATTTTGACTAAACAAAAAACTCCAAAGATTGATTGATTTATTTATTTGAAAGGTAGTGTTACAGGGAGAGAGACTGAGATAGAGGTAGAGACACACCCAGAGAGGGAGAGAGAAAGAGAAATCTTCCATCTACTGGTTCATCCACCAAATGGCCAGAGTGGCTGAAGCTGTGCCAGTCTGAAGCCAGGAGCCAGGAGCTTCTTCCGGGTTTCACATGGGGTTCAGAGGTCCAAAGTCTTGGGCCATCTTCTGCTGCTTTCCCAGGCACTTCAGTAGAGACTGGGTCAGAAGAGGAGAAGCTGGGACTAGAAAAACCAGAGCCCACATGGGTTGCTAGTGTTGTAGGCAGTGGCTTTGCCTGATATGCCACAACACTGGTCACCAAGAAAGATATCTTGATGAAATAAACATTAAAAAATACTTTAATGCAACAAAGATATTTCAAAAATCCCACAGCTGGGGCCAGCATTGTGATACAGAGGGTTAAGCCACAACTTGCAACACTGCCATCCAGTATGAGTGCTGGTTCTAGTTCCAGCTACTCTGCTTCCAATCTAGCCACCTGCTAATGTGCTTGGGAAAGCAGCAGAGGATAGCCCTGGCTTGGACCCCTACACCCATGTGGGAAACCTGAATGGAGCTCCAGGCTCCTATCTTTGGCCTGGCCCATTTCCCGCCATTGTGGCCATTTGAGGAGTTAACCAGTGGATGGAAAATTAATCTCTCTCTCTCTCTCTCTCTCTCTCTATCTCTCTGTAAATCTGCTTTTCAAATAAATAAAAATAAATAAATAAATCTTTTTTAAAAAGTCCCACAGATAACTTTATACTCAATGGTAAAAAACTGAAAGCTTTTTCTCTAAGGTATGGAATAAGACCGGATGGCCCACTATTACCTCGACTATTTAACATAGTACTGGAAGTCCTATGTAGAACAATTAGACCAAAAAAGTGACATCTAAACTAACATAAAACTATTTCTATTGCAGGTAACAATTTCTATTATGTTAAAAGCTCTAGATTCAACAAAAAAAAGTTATAGAAATTCAAAAAATTCAGTAAAATTAAAATACAAATTTTAATACTTTCCACCTTAAAAAAGAACAATACACATTTTGTGTGTGTGTGTGTGTGTTTTTTTTTTTTTTTTTTTTGATAGAGTGGACAGTGAGAGACAGAGACAGAGAGAAAGGTCTTCCTTTTGCCGTTGGTTCACCCTCCAATGACCACTGCGGCTGGCGCATCGTGCTGATCCGAAGCCAGGAGCCAGGTGCTTCTCCTGGTTTCCCATGCGGGTGCAGGGCCCAAGGACTTGGGCCATCCTCCACTGCACTCCCTGGCCACAGCAGAGGGCTGGACTGGAAGAGGGGCAACTGGGACAGAATCCGGCGCCCCGACCGGGACTAGAACCCGGTGTACCAGTGCCACAAGGCAGAGGATTAGCCTATTGAGCCGTGGCGCCGGCCAACAATACACATTTGTAACAACCTGGATGAGGAAATTTAATACACAGCATGGTGACTAGAGTTAGCTACACTGTATTATGTACTTGAAATTTTCCAAGAGAATAGATCTTAAGTGTTCAGAAAATGGCTACCCTAATGATGGTGATTTCACAATGTATAAATGTCTACATGTTTCAAAACATCTGTTTGCATTCTTTTTTTTTAAAGATTTATTTATTTGAAAGTCAGAGTTACACAGAGAGAGGGAAGGTGGAGATAGAGAGAGAGAGAGGGAGGGAGGAAGGGAGGGAGGGAGGGGGGGAAGGAGGGAAAGAGGGAGAGAGAGAAGTCCTCTATCTGCTAGTTCACTCCTCAATTGGCTGCAATGGCCGGAGTTGCTCCAATCCAAAGCCAGGTGCCAGGAGCTTCTTCCAGGTTTCCCACACAGGTGCAGGGCCATCTCCTACTTTTCCATGTTGTAGCAGAGAGCTGTATTGGAAGTGGAACAGCCGGGTCTCCAACTGGCACCCATATAGGATGCCGGCATTTCAGGCCAGGGCGGTAACCCACTGCACCACAGCGCCGGCCCCCAGTTTACATTCTTAAACAATTTCTATTTGTCTAATATACTGCAATGAAGCTGAAAAGCGAAATGAACTGCAAATATTTAATAGTTAATCCTATAATTACATGATGCTTGCTTGCTTTTAATCTGCATATTGTACAGCCTTTTATTCTCAACAGAAGAGTCCATCATGCTAAAGACTCTGAGATAGTCAGACATTGGTTATAAAACACAAAACCTGAGATTATTGACTTTTTCCAGCCCCCAAAATTTATTCAGGCTGTCACATGTCAAGGGTTTTTCTTCTCTTTCTGGTTATCCTTTTAAACCTTGAACATCCTGAAGGCTTTTGTGGAGTCCCATCTAATCAATAAGGCTCAGCATCAATGGTCCAAAGTCATTATGTCAAGGATTATCATAAAATTTTATCACAGAAATGCGGATCAAAATCACAAACAATTGTCAATATGTATCCCTGTGTACAACTTAAAAGCTGTAAAGGAAATCTAAGAATGTAAAACGCATCACTGTTTTCAAAGACTAACAATTAGTGTAAGATCTTAAGTGAATATGCAAGGCCTAAAATTTATTGAATCACTGTAATGTTGTCCATTGTAAATTATGCAGTGAATCATAAGCAATCCTTTTAACACTTTTCCCCTTGAACTATATTTTTTTTAATTTATTTATTTGAGAGGTAGAGTTACAGACAGAAAGAGGGAGAGACAGAGAGAAAGGTCTTCCGTCTGCTAGTCCACTCCCCAAATGGCCACAATGTCCAGAGCTTAGATGATCCAAAACCAGGAGCCAGGAGCTTCTTCCTAGTCTCCCACATATATGCAGGGCCCCAAACACTTGGGCCATCCTCTGCTGCTTTCCCAGGCCATAGTAGAGAGCTGAATCTGAAGAGGAGCAGCCAAGACATGAACCAGAGCCCATATAGGATACCAGCACCGCATGTGGAGTCTCAGCCTACTATGCCACAGTGCTGGCCCTCTTAAAGCTCCTGGCACCTGGCTTCGGATTGGTGCAACTCTGGCCACTGCAGCCAATTGAGGAGTGAACCAGCAGATGGAAGACTTCTCTCTCTCTCTCTCTCTCTCTCTCTCTCTCTCTCTGCCTTCTCTCTCTCTGTGTAACTGTGACTTTCAAATAAATAAATAAATCTTTAAAAAAACAAAGTTTTGAAACATGTAGATATTTATACATTGTGAAATGATCACCATCATTAGGGTAGCCATTTTCTGAACACTTAAGATCTATTCTCTTGGAAAATTTCAAGTACATAATACAGTGTAGCTAACTCTAGTCACCATGCTGTGTATTTAATTTCTAGAATTTTTTTTGTTTTTCATAACTGAGGCTTTGTACACTTTGACAAATATTTGACAAATATCTTGAAATTTCTCCAGCTTCTAACTCCTGGTAACTTCCAATTTTGTCTGTGTTTCTATGGGTTTGTATTAACTTCCACATAAAAGTGAGATCATGCAGTATTATCTTTCTATGTCTTATTACACTTATCAATGCATCCAAATTTTGGAAGATGCATGAACACTGGATGGAAAAAGAGAATCATATGAAGATGTCAGACTGGTGGAAAGAGAAGGAAGCAAGCATCAAGGGATGCAATGACGAGGAGATGTAGAAAGAGGAAGCAACTACAATGACAGCAACGGTTTTGTGAAATAGATTTCTTCCTTCTTGCTTTTAGTGAACAAAACTGTCTCTCATCATTCAGGACTTCTCTGCCTTGAGTGGTTGAACAGGAATGGTGGGACCTAGAGATGGAGAATGAAAAATTTTAGGAAAGAAATGCAAAGGGAATGAGTTCTTCAGATTTTCATACACAAATATAAACTATGAAATATGACAACAGTATTCAAAGCCAAACTTTATGGAGGAAAAAGAAATTTTAAAAACATTTTAATGATCATTAACATATGAAAACCACACTTAGACAAGCTTTGTTTTGTCCTGTGCTTTTTTGCTCCTTGTCTTTAAGAAGCTGGATCTTTTCCCATGTAGTGTAGTCATGAGGACTTCTCCAAAAACAAAGCAAAGTGTCCAGATGAGTTTTGATGGATCAAAAATGATCAAGGATGATAGATTTACCCAGAAAATGACACAGGAGAAGCTGAGCACCTAACTTCCCCTGAGGACAGGACAAGATGGATGAGATAAACACAGTCACTAGGTAAATGAGAGTTGATTTCTGGCACCTCACGGTCTGAGTATAGGAGCTCAACAACCTAGAAGAGCCTGGCTGGATATAGAGTGTTCAATAGAGGTCCTTCACTCCATAGGGGCTTAGTGACTGATCACTAATCGCCACACGAGAGATTTAAGTCTTTTATGCCAGCATGATATGCACAAGAAGACAGACAGGACCTGTTCAACTTAATGATTGGCTGTCTAGAGAGAAAACAAACTACCCATTAGATGTCAGAGAATATCAAAATCTAGCACTGTAGAGTTGCCACTTTGTGGATACATTAAACCTCTTGCCAGACAAGAATTAATAAACTTCTCCTAAACCAAGATGGTACTAAACACAGGGGAAAGAAAAGAAAAAGCACTTTCCCAAAGCTTTTGAGTCACCAAAAGAGATATTTGTAATTATTGAACCAGGTAGGATTAAACTTGGTCTCTACTAATAAAGGGCTTATATATGTGATCACATAGGCAGTTGATGACATGAGACCTCTGAGTCAAACAACAACAAGGACTTTATTACTCACAGCAAGTACAGTAGCTAGAGAAATGGCACTTTTGCTGGTTTTCCAGGCCCACATTGCAACAGGGCAATGCAAAGAAGGTGAGGTGACACCCATTCTCATAGTGGGTTTCATTACAGGATAGAAACCCCAAATTTATGCAATTTCTTATGCTGCCACAGTAAATCTGCCTTCCCTTTGACCTAAAGGAAGTCATTCTCTTCATCATATTATATAGTAAAAAATTCTTCCAATGGCTTTGAAGGAGGACACCATCTCTATCTTCAAGTCTATCCAAGAGAGATTTTCCCTCTCCTTTCCTCCCTCCCTCCCTCTCTCTCTTTCCCTCTTTATCTCTCTCTCTCTCCCTCTCACTGTGCCTTTCAAATAAACAAAAATAAATCTTCAAAGAAAGAAGAGTAGATAGTGTGATTTTAGTGACAGCCTGTGAGAGCATAGTGTGAGAGAAACGAAATGTTCCTATTTCATTACTCAACTTCATTCCCCCAGCAGAGTAATCTCTTACAACTACTTCCTTTACAGGAATTCTTCCCCATACAAGCTCTACGATGTTTACAAAGAATGGTATCTACTATGTTGGCACACAACTCCAAACCCTAGTCTATAAGAGGGGGAAGCTTCAACTGTGTGACGATGCTGTCATTTTTTTTCAGGGACTTGAAAGTTTCACCGTGTTTTTATGACTTGTGTTTTCACATCAAGGATAGATCACCTGTGCAGTTGTTTTATAACTGCACAGGATCCTTGCTAGAAATTGAATTTCTAATAATATTGATGCTTCCCATTCTTAATGTTGCAGCCATGTTTCCTTATAATTAATTAGAAAAATAATGTTTGTTATTAAAAAATGCCTAAAGCAAAATCTGATTCCAGATACCAATCAAAGGGAGAAAGCAAACATTTAGTTCTCATTGTGTGAACAATCTCTTTGAAGGTCATTGCCACAGATGAAATTGAAGTGTTTTTGTTGTTTCTCTTACTAGAGTCAGCATTTTAATTTGGAAGCAACTGACAATATATCTTATTTAAGTTTGAAAGTTAACCTTTGGCAAATGTCTATAGAAATAATTAACAATATTATCATAGTCAATTTACCTAATTAAGCTTATGCTGCATCTCTGTGATCTCCTTTGATTCCTTCAAAGATTTTGGAACCTAAGAAAAAGGAAAAAGAACTTTCCTGAAAAGAAATTGGATAGCAGAATTGAGGTGAAAGGTTGGATAACTCTAGTGAAATAAGTTCTATAAGTTTCACTGTGATATATTACTTTGATATTTTGTCATACCTCAGTACTTCTTTTTTTAATTCAAAAAGGCAGAGAGTTAGAGAGTGAACAGAGAGAGAGAGAAAGAGAGAGAGACTAACAGACAGGCAGAGCTCCCATCTCCTGGCTCATTCTGAAAAGTCCACAAGGGCCAAAGTTGAAGCCAGAAGCCAGGGATGCAATCCAGGTCTTCCGTGCAGGTGCCAGGAACCCCATCACTTGAGCCATCACAACTGCCTCTCAGGGTCTGCAATAGCGGGAAGCTGGAGTCAGAAACCAGAGTCTGGAATCCAAACCAGGCACTTTGGTTTGGGTTGCAGAATGCTTAACTGCTTGGTCATATGCCACCCCCATCTCAGAATTTTTAGGTTGCAATAGACTCAACTGCTAAACTCATGGAAGGACAGGTGTGGTGTTATATTCTCTGATACTGTCCACTTTAGAATTAATTGTTTATTGTATTTCTCTTCATATCTTTTGCATTAAATCGTTAAATAAGTCACTGTTAAAAAGTTTTGCCTCCTTAAAACATAGAAAATCAGTCAATCATGATTTTTCTGAATCTCATTATCACCATACACTGATTTCCCCATGGTAATTCTGTAGCATCATTAAGACTGACTTTGTCAACGGACAAAATATTTAACTCTTCCACTGCCACAAGATGAGTAGAAAAACCACAAAGTTACATTACTATGTAGGTAAAGAATTTGCTTCCTTACTTGCATTTGTACCTGAGCAAAACTAATGGTTATAGCATGTCATTGACCTTTCAGTCCACGGTAGAAAAGTAGAAACTTAGAGGGTTAAATCCTCAATGACACAAGCCTAGAGAATTCACTGTAAGTTCAGAGTAATAATACTGGCTAATCTAAGCATAAGATTATAGTTGAAGCACACAATAATTTTCAAAGAAAATCACATTCTATTTTCAAGTAGAGAAGATATGTTTGTTCTGTTTCAAAAACTGTATTCCATATTATATAGGCAAAGGGAGAAGTGTGTTTTGTCAATGTTTTTTCTTATTAAAAATAAACTTTTTTCTTTTACACAATAAAAAAGACTGAATTACAATCTAGGCTGTCATCTCAAATTCCTTGTCAATGTATCTTATTGGAAAATAAAACTAAGGACCAGTGCTTTGGTATAGTGGGTAAATTTGCTGCCTACAATGCCAGCATCCCATATGCATGCCATTTCAAGTCCTGGTTGCTCCACTTCTGATCCAAGCGCACCTGGAAAAGCAGCAGAACATGGCCCAAGTACTAGGGCCCCTGAACCCACCTGGGAGACTGCAAAGAAACTCCTGGCTCCTGGCTTTGAATCAACCCAGCTCTGGCAGTTGCAGCCATTTGGAGAATGAGCCAATGGATGATTCTCTCTCTCTCTCTCTCTCTCTCTCTCTCTCTCTCTGTCTCTCTCTGTCTCTCTCCCTCTCTCTCTTGTTAACTCTGACTTCCAAGTAAATAAATATTCAAAAAAACATATAAAAACATTTCAAAACATCACTCTTGAAAAATTAAAAACTATCCCTTTCATGTTCTGATAAAAGTGGGTAAATTTTCCCACGTCGTTAGGATACTATACAAATGTATAAATGTAATAATAAATGTGTGTGGATAATTTCTATAATGCTACCAATGGGAAATGATAAAATCTTGTGCAAATTTATGATGAGACCTTCTATAGTGTGGCTTTATAGTATTGATTTTTCCTTACATAAATTTGATTATTGTTAATTCTTGAGCCCTCTGCTTCATTCTGAAAATATTATTGTTTTTCCCTGCTGAGAGAGCCTAAGGAGAATTGGAAGGAGTGTTCTCTATAGCTCTTGTTTTCAATGCATGAAATGCTTGCCATTGTCAACACAATCCTGTGCCACAGCCATTGTCACATTTGCTGACAACACTGTGTACAATTTATGGGGTTTACATAAAGGTTATGTGGAATAAATCACTGGCCTATATCTTTGCTTGGTATCGTCTTTGCATTATTTATGAGCAAAGAACAATGCATCATGCTGGACTTCATGTTAGGCTGCTGTAATTCACCTGATAAAACATTATTTTCTCGGAGAGCCTGATGCGAGGGTAAAGAGCCAACTCCCCCTTTTTGAGAAGAGCCAGGCAGCATGTTTCAGATAATACATCAGAAGGATGCTGACTGCACCTACGATTAATGATCAATTCTAAGCTGTAGCTTAACCCCCCAGAGGCACAGACTTTCTTAAGACTGCATTCTGCATGGCATGCTACTTATCTTGTCCACCCCTCGGACAGCACATGGTTGCAATTCAGTAATTCATTCAACACTGTGTTAAGTGCTTGAAGTCCTTCCATTGACAAAGAAGAAAAAATTATGGCCTTAGCTGAAGTTTCTCCAAAAACAACAATCTGTGATAGAAGTTTAGATATGTGAGATTTAATTTAAAAAATTAACCCAATAATCGAGTAGGGAACTAGAAGGATGACTCAGAGAAGTAGGGGAAGTTAATTTAATGTTGCATAGAGCTGATTATCACTGACTTGGAGAACAACCAGAGCACAGCTGTACTAAGAGTGATGTATGAGTACCTCAGAATGTCCACCTAAGACAGAAGAAAGGCAATTTTCATTCCCCAATGGCTAAGGTTCATCTCTTCTCCATGTTTTAGAATGAGCAGCATCTTACAGACAGCCCACTTGGTAGTGGCAGGTAAAGAAGTCAAAAGTAAGAGATTTACCAAAAAAAAAAAAAAAATAAGACAAGGTGAAATCAAGTGCCACCTGAATGAAACTCGGTGCCATGGCAATGACTAGAGTGAAAACAATCCTATGAAAAAAGATATGAGGTAGGACACAGGAGATGTCCAACACAACTCCTACTCTAAGGAGAACGCATTCTCGTCAGCTGACTTGGATAAAATCTAGATATTTTACTTGGATATCTCCTAAAGAAAAAACAAACAGAAGTAAATAAGAATGGCTACACACATACAACAGAATCAGATCAGTATATAGCCCACAAGCCTATTATTTTAAGCACTGTTATACAAGAAAAACTTAAGTAATAAAATAAAATTATAAATACATAAATGTTTAAAACAATAAAATGTAAATGCAAACATTTATTTGTAATTCCTTTCAATGAGAAATGAATAACAATTTTTGGCTAGAATCATCTAAGAGGAACAAGCATCATGTGTATTATTTTTTATCTCTTTTTTTTTTTTTTTTTTTGACAGGCAGAGTTAGACAGTGAGAGAGAGAGAGACAGAAAGAAAGGTCTTCCTTTTTCCGTTGGTTCACCCCTCAAGCGGCTGCTATGGCTGGCGTGCTGCGCCGATCCGAAGCCAGGAGCCAGGTGCTTCCTCCTGGTCTCCCATGCGGGTGCAGGGCCCAAGTACTTGGGCCATCCTCCACTGCACTCCCAGGCCACAGAAGAGAGCTGGACTGGAAGAGGAGCAACCAGGACAGAATCCAGTGCCCCTTCTGGGACTAGAACCCGGGGTGCCGGCGCCACAGGCGGAGGATTAGCCTAGTGAACCACAGCGCCAGCCGCATAATGTGTTTTAAATAGCTGTATGATGACTCTAAATACATCTTAGTTTCTAGGGGCTCTAGGTTGGGCTTATGTTAGAATCACAGCTGAGATTCTAATGTCAAAGGTGCCAACTACTGTCAAGTTCGAAAATCAAGACCTTCGAACCAAAGTGGTAGTAAAGAGCCAATTTTTCAACTGTTTTCATACCAGTCTTTTAAAAAGGCTAGAGAGACCAGAAGAAATAGACTTAAAAGGGGAATTTGGAAGGGAGCTGTCAGAGTGTGAGTTCTCTCCCCTGCCATGAAAGTAGGCTGGTAGGGATTTGACTTCTTCTCAATGTCAGGGAAGAAGGCTTCACAGATGTCTCAGAGAGCATGTCTGATCTATAGCACTGGGAGGACACAGTAGGCTATTAACACGCTTAAGAAGCCTAAAGGAAGAGTGACCATGGCCCAGCTGCTCTGACAGTAGAGAAAATAAGTTACAGATTTGGGGACCCCCTCCATTCTCAGCATTTTTAGGGTATAGTCATGAAGTACTGGAGAAAGGTTGGCTTCAGTTCTGATCAAGAAATCTATCTCAAATGGAAAGATGTCCTCCTTCAGGGGAATGTCTTAAATCTGAAGGAGAGGCAGTATCATCAGTCCGAAGACATGCATTCATCCACATCAGGGAAATACACATGAGAGATCCCCAGCAATCGGGGGAAGAGGATAAATGTCTGGGAATACCACACAATCAGAGAAAAGTGATTCCATTTTAAATATCTGCCAAACACGTACCTTCTCCACTCTGAACAATCTAAAAGACCCAAAGTACTATTATGTATTACTACAATCATTCTAAAACGGAAACAGGGAGGGTTATCTTCCATACTTGGATCATGTGCATATCTGACCCTAATGAAAGGGCACAGGAAGAAAAATAAATGAGAAGAGAGAAATAGATGAAAGAAAAACTAAGTTCCTAAAGGCACACTCAAAGATTGATAGCGCTTGGAATTAAGTGACAGCAATGGATAAATTCCTCTTGTGTTCACAGTAAGATAAGCAGTAAGATTTTCTTGGTAATGAATGTCTAATAATGAGCTATATGGATACATCTTCCACATCGCAAGGGACACAGTATCAGAGATACGCATAATTGAAAGTAAAGAACAGAAGATGAAGATTAAAAACTCTTAGCAGTGCACACAGCAAGCTTATAGGTCTGCTGGCTTTGTCACTGTTAGGTCCAACATCCAATAAGGAACCTGACTACTCAGAGAGCTCACTTTGGGATTGATGGACAATTCACCTTCATTACTCAAATATAACCAAGTCAGGGAATGCATATTCTTTAACAGTTTATTTCACATCAGTCTTTTCTCAGAGTCTATGAATTCTTAATGAATGAAATATAGTAAGACTGACTTTTCTTATAGAATATGGAAATTGTGCAAGGAAGCAGAATCGTAACTGACTTCAACTGGTTCAAATGAGGATCTTTCATCATCTACCTCCAGTTTCTGTCTGGCTATAATTCTTTAAAATAAGGAGAAGTTTGGGGCTGGTGCTGTGGTATAGTGGGTAAAGCTGCTGCCTGCAGTGCTGGCATTCTGTATGGGCACCAGTTCGAGTACCAGCTGCTCCACTTCTGATCCAGCTCTCTGCTATGGCCTCAGAAAGGAGTAGAAGATGGTCTAAGTGCTTGACCCCCTGTACCCATGTGGGAGACCCAGAGGAAGCTCCTGGCCCCTGGCTTCAGATAAGCATAGCTCTAGCCATTGTGGCTATTCAGGGAATAAACAAGTGATGGAAGACCTCTCTCTCTCTCTCTGCCTCTCTGCCTTTCAAATAAATAAATAAGTAAATCTGAGGGAGAGGGAGGGGGATAGGGAGAGGGAGGGGGAGGGGGAGAGGGAGAGGAGCAGGAGACTTGAGTGGGTGATATACTATGGCCAACAACAAATGAAATCAACGGGTCTAGCTGAAAACTGAGTAAATAAGCAATCAACAATTTCTTTTTCTTTGTGACATCAAAGAACTAAGTGAATCCTTTCTTCCTCAAGTTGCAAGGTGTCATGGGTAGCAGTGATGTCAGCCCAAGTGCAACACTGAAAATACTCTCTGCTAAAGGGATCAGTTGCAACCAGTCGCATCATAACGACATGAGCAGGCAAATTAAGTCATTGGAAAGAAAATTGTATCTTGTTTATCCAAAAAAAATTACCCAGATTTTTCAGATATGTTAAAAACCTTATAGACATACACAGTGCCAGAGCTGGCATGACCAGAGAGTCCACTGAAGCCAACATTCCCTGAAAGCAAACTTGGCACAGTTTAGCAAACAAAGAATTTCCATTTGTTCTGGGTTTCCAACCATGATGGATGATTACCAGGCCTGCAAGTGAGCCTCATAAACCTTCAGATTTGTCTCTTTTTTTTTGTTTTTTTTTTTTTTTTTGAAAGGGGATTTAGCAAAGAGAAAGTGATATGTGTGTCTTTACCTGCATACAGAAAAAGAAAATTGACAGAATTTTTTCTTCTATGAGCTAAAAACACCCCAAAAACCAAAAAACTAGAAATCACAAATCTTGACACTATTTTAAATCTTTTTTCTTTATTTTAACTCAAATCTATTACTAAGTACCTTTCCTTTAAAATTAGATTCCCATTGCAGTTTAATACTCTACACAGTGATAATGAATAGGAGGGTTAACTGATTAGTGTGATATCAATCTACTCTAATATACTAAATCTCGGGTGCGAAATATTCACAGTTAATGACCACCACAGACTAAACTGAGATCACTGTAATATTAATTCCCAAATTTAATTTTCCAGATGAGAAAGAGGTTGTTAAAGTGTGTGTCTCTCTTAAATATTCTATTATGTAGGCTTTTACACTCTTTATTTTTGTTCTCCTTATTTTCCAGACTGTTAAAAGCTATGTAGCCAATACCATGAACTTTTGTTCATAGCATCTGGACTTCTGCTCCCTTTTTAAGTAAAAATGGAGTTTTTACTTAATTCCATGCTGTTCGAAGTAGAGAGTCATTGTCCAGAAGTCACATCCTTCACAAAGCGACTGAGGACAAAGGGAAAAATCACCTGCGATATCTGAGAAGAGCACAGCCCCGCTGAGGGAGTATCCTTCCTCCTGCTCCAGCCAGTGTCTCCTGAAGAGCTACCAACAATCGTTATCACCAAAACAAAACAAAACAAAAATACCTGTTCAGCATTACTGTGCTTTGGGCACCATGTGAAGTCTACTATATACCTTATTTTATCCTCAGAATGAGCTCACAGATATAACTATTGTCTTATGGTTAAGGAAATTGAGGATGTACAGATGGGAAAACAAGCAAGATTGGCTAATTGTGTGGTAGGTGTTCAAGACTGAATGTGTCCTCTCAAAATATGTATGTTGAAATCCTAATGCCAGTGTGATAGCATTTAGAGGTGAAACCTTTGGGAGGTCTTTAAAATAAGTCATAAATGTAGAAGCCCCATGAATGTAATTGTGTCTTTTTTTTTTTTTTTAACAGGCAGAGTGGATAGTGAGAGAGAGAGACAGAGAGAAAGGTCTTCCTTTGCTGTTGGTTCACCCTCCAATGGCCGCTGCGGCCAGCGCGCTGAGGCCAGCGCACTGTGCTGATCCGATGACAGGAGCCAGGTACTTCTCCTGGTCTCTCATGGGGTGCAGGGCCCAAGCACTTGGGCCATCCTCCACTGCCCTCCCTGGCCACAGCAGAGAGCTGGCCTGGAAGAGGGGCAACCAGGACAGAATCCGGTGCCCCGACTGGGACTAGAACCCGGTGTGCCAGCGCCACAAGGCGGAGGATTAGCCTAGTGAGCCGCGGCGCTGGCGTAATTGTGTATTTACATGAAGAGACCACAGATCGGGCTGTCTCTCTTCCTGCCATGTGAGGATTCAAGAAGTCAGCAGTCTACAGCTGGAAGAGAGACCTTAACAGAATCCAACCATGCCAGAATCCTGATCACTGACTTCCAGCTTTTTTAACTATGATAAGTAAATCGATTTGTAAGGCAAAAAAATGCAATGTCCTTTGTTACAGTAGAAGTTTACTGAGACAGTGAGTATAAAACAAAACTAAACCCACGACTAACAGGCTTCAAATATCATGTCGCAAAAATGCCCTACCCTACATGGAGCTCCTGTCTTCCTTGTCTGTTTCTAGGACCTTTGGTCACTTATCGCACTACAACCAACTCTGCTGCAGTCTGCTTTATATGCAAACTGACCAAGGCTTCCTCTCATGTGCTCCTGTACCCCTTCCTCTCCTGTCTCTGGGATTTTCTGTTGATGTTGAAGCAGATGGTTGGATGGAAGTAGTTAATGCTCTCTTTTAGGAAATCACTGGGAAATTGGAGCCTCTTAGAAATTCTTTACTCTTCAATCAGAAAATGCCTGCCTTTGGAACTATTGTACAGCCTCTCAGAGGATGGTTATGAAAACTATTTACAGTGAAACACATTTGAAAACACAATTTAATATAGGGGATGAGCGCATTCTGCTAACATTGGGGAAACTGGAATTAAAGTGAATGGCAAGTAGTTTAGATGGCATTTCTTATGCCCACATCCTGTATCGGAGTGCATGGGTCTGAGTCCTGGTTTCCCTCACAACTTTCTGCCAATGGCCACGCTGGAAGACAGCAGTGATGACTCAAGTACTAGGGTTCCTGCCATTCATGTATAAGACCAGATTGAATTCAGAGCTCTTGGCATTGGTGTGGCTCAAGCACAGATGCTGTAAGCATTTGGGAAGTGAAACAGCAGATGGACCATCTCTCTGCCTGCCTGTCTCTATCTATCTTTTTGCGTTACAAATAAATAAATGTGTGTTAAAGAGTCACAAATGATGTCGTCCCATGCAGGTGGTTCTTAAGAGGATGCACAGGAACTGCTATAAATGTTAAGAAGCTCCGTTAAGTTCCAGGCAATTCTTAGCAGGCAACAGTAAGACAGGTGCTTCTTACTGGCTTGGAATTTATCTCTTACCTCCTACCTACCCACCTCGCCACTCATCCAATCTTGGAGAATACTGATTTTTGCCTCTTGCTTGCCGTTTAAGATTCTCATGTGTAGAATTTAATTAAATTAAGATTTTAGGGGTTTTATTGAATTAAAATTGGTCGCCAAGGTTCACAAGTTTGACCCATTTAGGATTTACATTTACTAGTTGAAATAAATTTAATAACAACACACTATTAAAATAATATATATACATAATACATTTTAAAATAATACTATGTATTAATATATATGTTAATAATATGAACACTCTTATCAGTGTTAACCATGACTGTATGTCATTACATGTTTGTCCAAGCTCATAGAATGTACCACAAGAATGAACACTATGTAAGCTATGAAATTGGGGTGATTATGATGTGTCAATATTGGCTCCTCAGTTGTAACAAATGCACCACTCTGAAGGGGATGTTAATAATGGGGAGATACATGCATGCATGGAGTTATGTGGTATAAATTTTTATACAAATAAAACTGCTCTTATTTTATTTCAGATACACAAAATTCATGTATTTCATAGATACAGATTTAGGGACACAGTGATGATACTTCCTCACTCTACTACACCTCTAGCCCAAGCTCCCACCCTTCCTTGTCCTTCTTTTATTACCTCTCTTATTTTTTAAAATGGTCTACACTCAGTTTACTTTATACTCATAAGACTAACCCTACACTAAGTAAAATGTTCAATAAATAGGAAGAAGAAAAAACACTGTTCAACAGTAGAGACAAGAGCTGTAAAAAGCATTGAAGCTCAGGCGAGATTAGGCGAGTTCAGGGTGGTATGGCTGGAAACTGGAATCAACCCAAATGTCCATCAACTGAAGATGTATTAAAAAAATTATGGGATATGTACACTGTGGAATAGAACACAGTGGTAAAAAAAATAAAATCAATAAAATGGATGAATCTGGAAAACATCATACTTAGTAAAATAAGCCAGTCCCAAAGGGACAAATACCATATGTTCTCCCTGACCTGTGATAACTAATAGAGTACTTAAAATGCAATATGTAAATTGTCCCTTTCCTATTCACACTCTTAATTTTTACAGAGATCAATTTTCAGTTAACTTTTTACTCCTAAGATTAACCCTACACTAATAGTTCAACAAATAGTATGAAGAAGAAGAAAAAAAGACCATTGTTCCTCAACAGTAGACACAAGAGCTGTAAACAATCATCAAATCTCAGGATGTCAGTTTCATTCCAGTACATTACATTGTAGGTACTCTATTAGAAACCACAGATCAGGGAAAACATTTGATATCTGTGTTTTGGGGATTGGCTTATTTCACTAAGTATAACGGTTTTCAGTTGCCTCCATTTTGTTGCAAAAGACAGGATTTTATTTTTTTTAAATCATTGAGTAGTATTCCATAGGGTATATATACCATAATTTCTTTATCCAGTCATCAGCTGATAGACATTTGATTGATTCCTATGTTAGTTATTGTGAAATGAACTGCAATGAACATAGAGGTACAGACAACTCTTTCATATGCTGATTTCCTTTCCTTTGGGTAAATTCCCACAAGTGGGATTGCTAGGTCCCATAAGGAAAAACAGAGTGAAAAGAATATGAAAAACATGAGAGCTTAACAAAAATTGAGAATAGAAAGAAATTTAAAATATGCCTAATGAGATTTCTAAAGGAGAGAATGAAGGTGAGACTATAATTGAATAGATCCAGGCTGAGAATTATATACAGGTATTGAAAAGAAGGAAACTAGAAACAAAAACAATACAATGTGCAGCAAGTAGATTAAATAAAAAGAAATCCATAAACATTTTTAAAGAAAACTAAAAACATTAAAGAAAAGGATATGGGGCCAGTGCTGTGGTATAGCAGGTAAAGCCATGCCTGCAGTGCCAGCATTCCATATGGGTGCCAGTTCGAGTCTCAGCTGCTCCAATTCCAATCCAGCTCTCTGCTATGGCCTGGGAAAGCAGAAGATGGACAAGTCTTTGGGCCCCTGCGCCTTCGTGGGACACCTGGAAGAAGCTCCTGGCTTCAACTCAGCACAGCTCTAACCGTGTGGCCATCTGGGGAGTGAACCAGCAGATAGAAGACCTCTCTCTCTCTCTCTCTCTCTCTCTGCCTCTGCCTCTCTGTAACTCTGCCTTTCAATAAATAAATAAATCTTTAAAAAAAGGAAAAGGATAAATTCTTAAAGCAGCTCAAAAGTAAAAATAATTTATAAAAGATAGCTAACTTTTATTTTGTAATATTTGTATTTTGTTTTTAACACATAGCAGTATACATATTTATGTAATATAGCATGTTTCAATACATCATGTTTTCAATAGCAATTACAACAATTAGAAAACAGTGTAAAATAAAATAAAAGTAATGAAAGAAAAGTGTCCTGTACTCTAAGATGTGCAAGGAAAGAAGGAAAGCAAATAAACTTGTAAAATCCTTAAAATCAAAACAGAACTTTCTTTAAAAGTAATATTAGCGTCAATTGTTTGCTGTTTGAAAGGGAAAGAAATAAAATACTATAAAACAATAGCCTGTTAACCTGGGAGAGGGCATGATCACAATTACAGTTTTAAAGCATTCATTGCGTTTGAGAGGGGGATTAAATATATAATAATTGTATACCTTTCAAAGTATATATAGTGAAACTTCAAGGGCGGTCCCTATAAGAATACTGCCAATTTAGAGAAGAAAAAAAATATCAAGAAAATAATACTTAGTAAACCAATAGAAAAAGTGAAGTCAATATACAAAAGGAAAAAAAAAAAAAAACAAACAAGCAAATGAAGTGGAAATGAGAAATCAACAGAAAACCCAAATTAAAGTAATATTAGGAAGTCTGCAGTCATGAGCATCTGACATAGTAGTTAAGACACTACTTCAGACACCAGCATCCCATCTCAAAATGTTTGGGTTCAAGTCTTCTCTCCTCTCCTGATTCCAGTTTCCTGCTATTGTGGACCTTGTGAGCCAACAGGTGTACTTGAGTACCTGAGTTCCTGCCAGCCAGTTTGGAGATCTGGATTGAGTTCCCAGCTATTAACTTTGACCTGGCCAAGATCTCTCTCTTCTCTCTTCTCTCTTCTCTCTTCTCTCTTCTCTCTTCTCTCTTCTCTCTTCTCTCTTCTCTCTTCTCTCTCTTCTGTTTGTGTGTGTGTCTGCCTTTCAAATACATTAAATAAGTCATCAATGTTAAAAGAAGTAGGGTGGGAGTTATAGTGCATCACATTAAGCTACCACTTGGGATGCCTACATTCTATGTCAGAGTGCAGCCCTAGCTCCTCATTCCACTTTCCATTCAGCTCTCTGCTAACACACCTGGGAGTCAGTGGATGACAGCACAAGTCCCTGCCACCCATTCAGGAGATCTAGATGGAGTTCCTGGATCCTGGCTTTGGCACAAGCTGTATTGGCCATTTTGGGAAAGAACAACTAGGGAAGATTTCTCTCTCTCTCTCTCTCTCTTTCTTTCTCTCTCTCTCTCCCTCTCTCTCCCATTTTTTACAAATAAATGTTTTAAAGTAAAGAAGTCCCAGAACAGAAATGACATTCAATCTTAATGTTATATAATGTTATATAAAACAAAGATTATCAGTTTTGTTGGGGGGGGAGAGAACATTCAAAAAATGTAATAAAATGAGATGTTTAGAAGCAAAATGATAGGCTTATGTATATAGCTTTGGTATTTATATTAATTTTGAACCAAAAGGAATTTAAGGCAAAAATATACAGAGAACCATTATATAATGATAAAAGTTTCAGCATAACATGAAGATACAAAGTTTTAACATGTATGCATTTAATTAAGAGTCCTTAAAATATATTAAGCAGAAAAAATACTTAGTGTCATGAGTAAAAACGATCAAAGTACAGTGAGAAAGTTTTAAGTTTGTCTCTCAAATAGCAGTAGGTCAAACCAACAGTAAATAACTAAGTCTAAGATATAGACCTGAATAACACAATTTAAAAGCTTGATCAAAATTAATATATACAGAACCATGTACACAAAAATTACAGAATACATTTTCTCTTCAAGTATACATGCAATATTTGCAAAACATACCATAAAAATCTTTACTATGCCATAAACATAAAAGCATTTACTATACCATAAAACAAGTCTCAACCAATCTCAAAAAATAGATATCAGACAAACTATGTTATATTTCTGTCTTAGGGCAGGCTGTTAGAGCCGAATTCTACAAATTGAGTGGCTTACAATTCACAGCAATTTATTTTTCATAGTTCTGGGGGCTGGAAAATCCAAGATCAAGGTACAACAGATGTGCTGTCTATTTAAAGGTCTGCTTCTGGTTGTCTGTCTTTTTGCTGTGCCCTCAAATTGCAGAAAGGGTTCAGCAAGCTCTGAGGACTCTTTTTTTTTAAAAAAAAAAAAAACCTTTTATTTAATGAATATAAATTTCCGAAGTACAGTTTATGGATTACAGTGGCTTCCCCCCCCCCCATAACTTCCCTCCAACCCGCAGCCTTCCCTTTTCCGCCTCCCTCTTCCCCTTCGTTTCACATCCGAGATTCATTTTCTATTCTCTTTATATAGAGCAGATAAGAGTTTAGCATACATTAAGTAAAGATTTCAACAGTTTGCACCCACATAGAAACACAGAGTGAAAAATACTGTTTGAGTACTAGTTATAGCATTAAATCACAATGTATGTATGGGCACATTAAGGACAGAGATCCTACATGAGGAGTAAGTGCACAGTGCACAGTGACTTCTGTTGTTGACTTAACAAATTGACACTCTTGTTTATGGCATCAGTAATTAATAATCTGAGGACTCTTACAGGACACAAATGAGATGCAAATCTCATTCATGAGGGCTCAATCCTTGTTACTTAATTACTTTACAAAGGCATCACGGTCTATTGTCTCTTCACTAGGGTTAGGATTTCAATATATGAATCTGGGCAGGAAACTACAAAGCAGTTCTCCAAGTCGCCTTGGTCTACTCAGCACCTCCCATTTTCTTGCTTGCAGTTCTGAAGGCTAACTGCGTAAGCACAATATCCTAGGAATGCAGCGTCTTCTAAAGAGCAGAATGCGCCCTGTTCTAGACCCCAGATGACAGGATTTCATTCAATACATTAGCCCGAAACAGACAAAATGCTGAGATGAACAGCCCAGGGCACAGGCTGTTTGAGGTCCCTCGGTTGCAGGACAGGTGGAGAGCGCACAGAAAGCCCCCCTCCGCCCCTGCAGCCCTCCTTATCCTGGGGGGACTAACCAGACCTGAACCTGACTTCTATCCTGCCTTTCTGCCTATTTGTAAGTAATAACCTCACTTCACTCACTCACCTTATGGTGGGGAAGGGAGTTCTGTCTACCAGATGCAGACAAGTTAGTAACCAGTGCCTCCCAGAAACAATCAGTTGACAGCACTTGCCATGGTTTAAGTCAGTACTGATAACAAGGTTTTTGAAATGTAAAATAAAGCATTAACATAAGCATGGACACTAGAAATCATACTTTTAATGATCCAAGGATCAAAGAACAAATCCTATTAGGAAAATTTTTAAATATTCAGAGCTAAGTCTCAAAGCCTATACTCCATAAAAAGCTTTGGGGAATACACAAAAAAACTGCACTTAAAGGAATGTTTTGATTAGATAAGTTAATAAGTAACAAAATGTAAAATTTAGAGAAGATAAGAGAAATCAAAGAAAGCAAAAGGAAGCAAAGAAACTAAGAAGTGAAAATCAGACCACCACAGAACAAGATAAAAACCAGATTTGTGGCATACTGGGTAAAACCTCCACCTGTGATGCTGGTACCCCATATGTGCACCTGCTTGCGTCCTGGATTTCCACATGCAGAAGCATGAAGTAAGACCCCTACCTTACTCCTAACACAAAAATCCAGTCAACATGGATTAACGATCTAAATCTATGACCCGACACCATCAAATTATTAAAGAACATTGGAGAAACCCTGCAAGATAGAGGCACAGGCAAAGACTTTTTGGAAAAGAACCTGGAGGTGCAGGCAGTCAAAGCAAAAATTAACAATTGGGATTTCTTCAAATTGAGAAGCTTCTGTACTGCAAAAGAAACAGTCAGGAAAGTGAAGAGGCAACCAACAGGATGGGAAAAAATATTTGCGAATTATGCAACCGATAAAGGATTAATAGCCAGAATCTACAAAGAGATCAACAAACTCCACAACAACAAAACAAACAACCTACTTAAGAGATGGGCCAAGGACCTCAATAGACATTTTTCAAAAGAGGAAATCCAAACGGCCAACAGGCACATGAAAAAATGTTCAGCATCACTAGCCATCAGGGAAATGCAAATCAAAACCACAATGAGGTTTCACCTCACTCCGGTTAGAATGGCTTACATACAGAAATCAACTAACAACAGATGCTGGCGAGGATGTGGGGAAAAAGGGACACTAACCCACTGTTGGTGGGAATGTAAACTGGTTAAGCCACTATGGAAGACAGCTTGGAGAGTCCTCAAAAACCTGAATGTAGCACTACCACAGGACCCAGCCATCCCACTCCTTGGAATTTACCCAAATGGAATTAAAGGGGAGAAAAAAAGAGACATTTGCACCTCAATATTTGTTGCAGCTCAATTCACAATAGCTAAGACATGGAATCAACCTAAATGTCCATCAACTGATGACTGGATAAAGAAACTATGGGATATGTACTCTATGGAACACTATACAGCAGTAAAAAAATCAATGAAATCCGGGCATTTACAACAAAATGGAGGAAGCTGGAAAATATGTTGAGTGAAATAAGACAGTCCTAAAGGAACAAATATCATATGTTCTCCCTGATTGATGGCAACTAAATGAGCATCTAAAATGCTTCCCACTGAAGTGAAATGGACACCATGAGAGACAATGACATGATCAGCCCTTGTCTAGACTGTTGAGGAACAACTTACTATTTTATTCCTTTTAGTATTTTTGTTGTTGTTGTTGTTGCTGCTCTGTTTGTTCTAGTTAATGCCGCTGGTTGAACTCTGCAATCAATACACCATCATTCTTAGGCATTTAAAATTAACAGAAAAGTGATCTCTGTTAAACATAGGAGTGGGAATAAGACAGGGAGGAAATATATAGGTCGGCACATGCTCACTCAGACTTACCTCCAATGGTGGAACTAGAAATGTGCCAGGGGATTTCAACTCAATCTTATCAAGGAGGCATGTACCAATGCCAGCACACATGGTAAAGTGATAAGTATAAGTACACAACCGATCAAAAAGTTAGGGTAAGTGTCGAAGAGATTTTACAAATAAGACCAGTGTAAGCAAGTAATGAAGCATAGAATTAAAAGGGAGAGAATGATCTTGCAGGGGAAGCAGGACACACAGCAGACTCATAGACTGGCAAACACCCAAAACAGCACTCCGGCCTCAGAATCAACCCTTAGGGCATTCGGATCTGGCTAAAAGGCCCATGAGAGTCTCACAGGCATGGAAAGCCATGACACGGTGGCAAAACAATCTAAATGAAAGATCCTGGTGAACAAGACCCCAGCAGAAGGAACAGGCCATCAAGGAGGGAGGCGCCTTTCTCCGAATGGAGGGAGGAACCTCCACTGTGATATGGCCTTGACTAAACAAGTTCAGAGTTGGTGAACTCAAGGGGCTTCCATAGCTTAGACAGCTCATGGCAAGAGCCTTGGGTGATTGCTGATGTCATAAATAAGAGTGCCAATTGTTAAATCAACAATGGGAGTCACTGGGTACAGGCTCCCCACGTAGGATGATCTCTGTCCTTAATGTGTTTTACTATGAAACTTAAAAACAACACTCCTAGTCGAACAATACCCTATACCTTGTGTGGTTGTGTGAGGGCAGCCTGTTGAAATCCTTGCTTAGTGTATACTAAGTTGATCTTCTGTATATGAAGGTGATTGAAAATGAAACTCGATGAAGGGCGGGATGGGAGAGGGAGTGGGAGAGGGGAGGGCTGCAGGATGGGGGGAGGTTGGGGGGAGAGCCACAACAATACAAAAGTTGCACTTTATAAATTCACATTTATTAAATTAAAAAAAGATTCAATACAAGTCAAAGATAATTCATCTACTTATTAATAAAATTTCCAGAAAAATTGTTTAAGTATGGAGATTACCGAAAGGAGTGAAACTAACTCCAAAAACAAAAAAATTAGAGAACTTTAGTAGATTTAATGCACTCAATCAATTGATATGTAGTTTAAAGTCTTCCCTCAAAGAACACATCAGGACCAGAAGATTTTCCTGGCAAGCTAGCCTAGCTTTTAAAGAAATATTTCCCATGGGGCTGGTGCTATGGCACAGCGGGTTAAAGCCTTGGCCTGAAGTGCGGGCATCCCATATGGGCACCAGTTCTAGTCCTGGCTGCTCTTCTTCCAATCCAGCTCTCTGCTGTGGCCTGGGAAAGCAGCAGAAGACGGCCCAAGTCCTTGGGCTCCTGCACCCACATGGGAGATCTGGAAGAAGCTCCTAGGTCCTGGCTTCAGATCAGCGCAGCTCCAGCTGTTGTGGCCATCTGGGGAGTGAATCAGCAGATGGAAGACCTTTCTCTCTATCTCTACCTCTCTCTGTAACTCTGTCTTTCAAATAAATAAAATAAATAAATTTTATGCAAATTTTATGAGATAAAAATAAATATTGTGAGCAATCCACAAGTTATGTATTGAGGCTTGTGTAACCATGATCCCAAAAGCTGAGAAGGATAAAAAGGAAATTTAGAAGCTACTCCCACTCTAAATATAAAAACAAAAAAAAATCAAACAAAATCTTAGCAAATTGAGAATATTTCTTCATCATCCTACAATCTTTGGTTGGCTGATCCGTAAACTACAAGTCAGCAATACCTAGAAATATACTCGAAATCAGTACTACTTAGCCCAGTGGGCTGATTAGATTTGTGTGTAGGACTCTAGCAAATCAGAGACAACAACAATGGAGTTGTTGAATTAAATATTTAAAGAACTGGAGAAGTACTCATAACATATTGATACCCGTTCTATCAGTTGAGCTCCTTGAAGCTAACTCTGTCACTGACAGTTTAATAATGATGAACTCTCTCCTTGCCTTTCTGATGGGAAATCACATCTATATTAACTTCAGGATACTTCCCAATTAACTCAAAGAGACGTTAAGCCTTCAAACAGTGCAGGCCACTGTCTTTCTGTACAACACCATTATTGTATGCAATAATATTGTGATTGTCCAACTTTGATATTTGCCTCTCAAACTTCCTTTGTAAAGGCTGAACACAGGAGTCATCATTACAAAAGTTCCTAGTGTGTCAGTTTCCCAGCACCCCTATCCCTGCCTCTCAGCAGTTTGAATCATTTAAAGGTTTAAAGTTACTTAATTTTATTTAAGGGTATTCTTGTTATCCACCCCCTGGAACAGCACAGTTTTTCTGCCTTTCGAACAACCACTAGAGCACAACAGTTCTGAAGATTATGATTCTTTGGAAATTGCACTACAGAGCAAAAAGACCCATACAAACTCCTGGGTCCTGTAGAACATCTTAGACACTGATTAAGAGTAACAAGATTTGGGGCCAGCACCGTGGCGCACTTGGTCAATCCTCCGCCTGCGGTGCCGGCATCCCATATGAACACCAGGTTTCAGTCCCGGTTGCCCCTCTTCCAGGCCAGCTCTCTGCTGTGGCCCAGGACAGTGGAGGATGGCCCAAGTGCTTGGACCCCTGCACCCACATGGGAGACAAGGAGGAAGCACGTGGCTCCTGGCTTCAGATCGGCGTATCTCCGGCCATAGCAGCCATTTGGGGGGTGAACCAATGGAAGGAAGACCTTTCTGTATGTCTCTCTCTCTCTCACTGTCTATGTAAAAAACAAAAAAGAGTAACAAGATGAAGGCAGCATTTGGAATAAATCTATATCTAGCAGTTAAGATGCCTGAATCCCACACCAGAGTATCTTGGTTCAATTCCTGGGTCTAGGTCCTGCTGATACATTCCCTGGGAGGCAGCTTTGATGGCTCAAGTAATTGGGTTCCTGCCACCCATGTGGAAGACTTGAATTGCATTCCTATCTGCTGGCTTTGGCCCCAGATGAGATCTACCTGTCCTGGGTGGGCATTTGGGGAATCAACCGGCAGATGAAGGCTCTTTGTGTGTCTACCTCTTTCTCTTTGATAATATGCTTTTTAAATAAAAAAAATGTTTTAAATAAGGTAACATTCGCATTATTGTTGAGCCAAATATTCTATTAATTTTATAATTGTAAGGATCATTTCAATAAAACAAAATGCCTTGAGTACTGAACTGGCATTTCTCAGGCAGAAAAGTGAAAGCTAAGTCCCTTCTCAGCCTGCTCTCTGTACTAAAAACTCACCCACTTGTCCCCTTCCCAGTTTTGGCTGAAATCAGTAAATGCAGAGCAGTAGAAAAAGCTCCAAAAGGGAAGAAAATGAGATTGGGATGTGGTTTTCCTGGGCCCCTCCCTAGGGGCTCACAATGGGTTGTGTATGTTCCTATTGGGGGTCTTCTCTACACAGTAACTGCTGCTACCTTCCCCCCCGCCCCTTTAGGTGTAGGAAGGTTACCATTTGTGTAGTTTTCAGGTTCTGCCTTGAGTACACCATCCCTATAAGTTACTTATATGCAGACCATAGTTTTGGGAATATTCTTGATACTAAACTCCACAAATTAAACAACTGAAGATATCCTCTGTTACCCATGGCATTCTGGTGCTCTTTATATGTCTGAAGGATTATTAACCCAAGGCCACACGAACCTAGCCTTGAACAAGGTTTATTCATAAAGTTCACAGAAAATGTGTATTATGGAAAAACTAAATATGGATTTCAAAAATGTATGATACCATGATAAAATTATCTGTTAATCCATAAACTTTTAAAGTACTCTCATATTACCTAAAGCAAAAAGATTTGTAATATCTTTCTCTAAAATGAATTAAGCCACCAGGGAAGAATGTATTGAGCCTTTTGTTTCATTAAGACAGTTGTTTTCCAGTGATTTGAGGACCATATGCAAACCCAGAATCCTGATGCACCATCAATGCAGCTCTCCCACCTGGCTTCCTAGTATTGGTTCTTTTGACATAAGTCCAATACGCTGACTTTCTGAAATGCAGCATTGCTATTCCCTTTAAAGACTCTTCTCAAAGACTGTGCACATTTTCTCACCCACATAAACAAAGTATGTAATTGAAAAGTGTAAAAAAGGTCAGTTAAGAGGCCAGTGCTGTGGAATAGTGGGTAAAGCTGCCGCCTGCAGTGCTGGCATCCCATATGAGCACGGGTTTGAATACCGGCTGCTCCACTTCCAATCCAGCTCTCTGCTAGGGCCTGGGAAAGCAGTAGAAGATGGCCCAAGTCCTTGACCCCTGTACCCTTGTGGGAGACTCGGGAAAAGCTCCTGGCTCCTGGCTTCAGATCACTGCAGCTCCAGCCATTGCAGCCATCTGGGGAGTGAACCAGTGGATGGAAGACTTCTCTCTCTCTTTCTCTCTCTCTGCCTCCCCCTCTCTCTGTGAGTAACTCTGACTTTCAAGTAAAATAAAAAATAAATCTTTAAAAAATATTAGTTAATAATTCCTGTCTTATTAAACTTGTACTTAACACTGGGATGTGAGAAAATATATTTCTAAAATGAATATAAAGATTATCATTTCACTTTACATTGCTATGTGCTGCCATTATTATTAGTGCAAATTATTGCATCTTGTTTTATTAAACAAGAAGCTATTAAAATGAACAGATTTTCTCTAAGATAAATGAACATAATTACTCTTTCATCAGTTTTATATTGTTGCTTTCATTTTGTGGTGAATATTGTGGCTTTTCTTGCCAACATTTATCTGAAACCTCTTTGGATTGGGAGTCATATGATTTGACCTTTCAATTCCAGGGCTAATCAAGGTACTTCCATTCCTTTTGCCACAGTTATTGTTTCAAACAAGACACTTACAGGGCTTGACATTATCATGATCAAAGACATTGATTGGTTCAGATATGGCAAAATCTTGAACAAAATCCTCAACAGCATCAAATGTGAACACAGAAGCATACAACTGGCACCAAATATCAACACCATGAAAAACCAGAATAAGAATAAAGCCCACACAGCATTATGAAGTTAATTGAAGTATAGAACCAATATTCCATTTAAATAATTCTGGGGGCTGGTGCTGTGGCGCAGCAGGTTAAAACCCTGGCCTGAAGCATCGTCATCCCATATGGGCACCGGTTCTAGTCCCAGCTGCTTCTCTTCTGATCCAGCTCTCTGCTGTGGCCTGGGATAGCAGAAGATGGCCCAAATCCTTGGGCCCCTGCACTCATGTGGGAGACCCAGATGAAGCTCCTGGCTCCTGGCTTTGGATCGGCACAGGTCCGGCCGTTGTGGCCATCTGGGGAGTGAACCAGTAGATGGAAGACCTCTCTCTCTGTCTCTACCTCTCTCTGTAAATCTTTCTAATAAATAAAATAAATATTTAAAAATAAATAAATAGATAAATAAATAATTCTGTAAGCCACACTACCAACTTGTCATGATTCAATAATGTGTTGATCTTGATCTGAATTTTTTGTGTTTACTTTGGATCTCACTGATTGACTTTCTGACAATTAGATGTCACTGCCACGTTTGTCACTGTGGTCATTTGGCATCCACC